TATCATAAGTCAGATGGGAGTCTATGATTACACCTAAGTCCCTTGCAGAATCGACAGGAGTCAGAGTTTTTCCCATGAACGGTATAGAAAAGTCTATTGAATGTTTACACATCAACTGTCGGGTACCAATCAACATGAACTTCGTTTTGTCTGGATTGATTAATAGCTGGTTGTTACAGCACCAAGTAGCAACACTGCGCAGATCATCCTCAAGCTTGATTTTAGCATCGCTAGAGCCATTTACAGGGAATGACAACAGGACTTTGGAGTCATCAACATAGGACTCGAGGTGACAGAGTTGTGGAGCACCTGGTAGGTCATTTAGATAAATACAAAAAGGAGTGGTGAAAGTATTGCGCCCTGAGGGACTCCATGAGAGATTGTTAGATGATCTGACAAGACAGAGTTGATGCGCACTGCCTGAGTTCTCCCAGAAAGGTAACTCTGGAACCATTTTACTGAAGCGGATGACGCACCGACGGAGGAAAGTTTCTGTAGTAGCCTTTGATGACTTATGGTTTTTGGCCTTGCTGTCTTAAACAGGGTATACATTTCACCCGAAATTGTCTTTAACAGGCTATACAATTTAGATAAAAGACCGATATAATTTTTTTTGTGTGTCTTAGACAGGGTAATATTTTCATAAGAAATACCGTAGAAATAGTAGAAATACTGTTTCACTGTCCCAGGATTAACGTGCTATCAAAAATTTCTTATTGTCTTTGATGGATGTCAGTATAATTGCAGTTTTGATGGTTGCGGCGTAGATAGCTATTCCTTATTTTTCCAATTTGTGGATTTTCACTTTTTAGTGTCTTAAACAGGGTCAGGGATTTAGACCGCTGGCGGCACGTACCTATCCAAAACGGGGTCGAATACCCAACCGGGACATCTTGATAGATTTATTAGAGATAACAAGCAGAAGTACTATCAAAGTCTTTTTGACCATAACGTTACATAAGCCTAGTTTTTTGTACCTTGAAAACCTTTCTCCATGAACAAATTCATACAAGAACAGTTATTTCAGGGTCTGAATGGGGGGAGGGGGTCTCAATGTCGGTAGTCAGCTAAAATTTCAAGCATTTGTCGGTAGCCAGTTAAAATTCTAGGCATGATTTGTCGGTAGTCGGCTATTTAAAAAAGGTTGATAAGCTATAAGTTTGAATGCACCTGAAACAGTGCGTTATGTCAACAGAATGATTTCTAAACTTAAAATGCCAACAATTGAATCCTTGAGTCTTGATTGGTCAATTGGATCCCACTCAAAGTTTTAGAGTGGCTCAACACAACTTCAAGAAGCCAATCCGAAGCAAAATTTATTTTTTCCGCGGAAAATTTCGAATGTAGTTGCTTGAGCACTTACAAAAAACTTGTATTCAAGAAGCTAATATCTTTGAATATTGCCTAAAAATACTTATTTTAAGGAAAATGTCGCCAGTCAGTAAATATGTTCTTGTCGGTAGTCAGTAAATTTTGTTCAAATTTGTCGCTAGTCAGTTGTTATTTTGTCCATTTGTCGCTAGTCGGTTAACCCCATCCAGACCCTGTTATTTAGCAGAACAGACGCCGTCAGCTCCTCCTGAAAGTTTTTGTCTTTACACTTAGGTCCAGATGAGTAAGCCACCTCTTGCATCTGGGTTCMTCTTTAGTGAATTTTGCGTTGCTACAGTTGACTCGACTCGCTTGTGCTTGTTTTATAACTAAGGGTAATAGTTGGGGGGGAGGGGGGGGGTAATTATTGCACAGTCCTCCCTTAATGGATGAAATGTTTGAAAWAAAAAATTCTAAGGAGAGATGTCTTTTGAAGACCGCTCGACCTACCCGATGAAGAGACGATTTATACTCTTTGAACTAGCTACGTGTATGTGCCTGATCGAGTTTTATATATTATCATAATATCAGAAGATATACAAATGACTATATTTTAATAACAAGTTTAAGTTAAAGCAAATTATCATTGATAAGATGTATCAATTTTGATTTTTAGAATGAATCAAGTACTATATTAGCATAACATCAGATAAACAAATGACTAAGGCTAAAAGCAAATTATCAAGTTTATATTATCATAATATATCAAATAAACAAATTTATACTATGTATTTTAGGAAAGAAAATGTTTTTATTTCTTTAATATCACTAAACTTTTAAAATCAGTCTTTCATCTTCGCTGGGGACTCTGCACAATCCCCGGCAGAGAGCTATTTTAATAAAGATGTACAAACCAGTGATAAAGCATGCCATATGCAACAATATCCTTTCCTTATGTAAAAAACCTTTTTATACACGATTGTCTTTCTGAAGCATCGCAGCACTTCACTTTTGATAAAAATCGCTAGTCTAAAGATATATTCGTAAACCCAAGAAAATAACGTATTTTTTCCTAATCTTCCATAATTGTGTTTGATTGATTTGAACAATTGAAACCATAAAAACTGTGTTCTTATCCAGTCTTCTATATAGCGTTACTCACAGTAAGGTTCTTTCAAACAGATCGTGTGACCAGACAGACTGTCATGACAGCCAGTCACGCGATGGCATTAAAAAGCGAAAGTGCTGATCACATTTCATGAAATGCATGTGGTTTATTGCGTTTTTAGAAATCATATGACGTCGTTTACTTTAATTTTTAGTGATATCAATGGTTTTATGATATTCGCAATGTATCTCGACAGAATTTAAAATGAAACCTCTTGAGTGTAGCTTGCAATTAAAAATTTATAGACATTATAGCAGCCCTGCTACTGATATAGATTACTTCTCTTTTTGTTGTCCATAAGTCTATCAAATCATATTAAGAATATAGAATCATATAAAAGTATTTCAAGGACCCAAGAATGATCATCAATCCCATGTAATGGCTTCCGGCTTGTCTGTCGCCTCAGTAGTAACCGACTTAGAGCCGTTGGAAACTCGATCACTTGTCACAAATTTAAGAGATTCCTTACTAAAAGTATGTACTGTTCAACTTACCAATCTTCTGTTTGTCGCTTCATTTAAGAAAAAAGTGCTCTGATCTAGAGGAATCGATCTGAGTTGAAGCCAAACAGTGCAATGGTAATTTCCCCGAATAACAGGAAGCGTGAAATCGAGGCTAAGTTATTAATAGNGATGCAAGAGGTGGCTTACTCATCTGGATCTAAGTGTAAAGACAAAAACATTCAGGAGGAGCTGACAAGCAAATGTGGTGCCCTTGCTTCTTTCAAATAATTTTGTTCCTGGCAAAGGTTTTCAAGGTCCAAAAAAGGCTTATGTATCGTTTTTATGGTCAAAAACGACTTTGATATTACTTGTGCTTTTTATGTRTAATAAATCATCAATATGTTTTTCAGCTTCTACATCTTCAATTTATGCGACAAAAATTGAAAAAATCAATAGTTGAAAAAAAATTCATATCTTGGTCAATTTCAATCACACATCAACGAGTCTTTGAATTTTGATTTCCATTAGTCAGGCGCGTAGCGTGGACTTTTTATGCACATAAAATATATTTTGGATCTGGGGGTCTAACGAACMCCAAAGGAGGGAGTATTAAGGAACTCTGGTCCTCCCCCAGATAATTTTGAAAAAAAAATTCAAAATTTTAAGGAAATAACCCTAGGAAATGCGATTTCCAGCTTGAATGAAACTTAAGTCCCCCCTCTGTTAATTAGGCAATTTTACGGCCCCCTCCTGGTAATTATTGCACAGTCCCTTAGGATATATGTCTGAAAGAATCTTATAACTTTTTTGGATATATCAAGACGAAACAATGAAAAAATGAATGCATTTATTAGATATTTAAAAACGGAACCTTAACAAAAATTCAACCAATAGGCGTGAAGTATGACCAAAACCATGGACGGGTCTCTAAACGCTTGTATATGATGACTGTATGACTGTATTGAACTCCTCAGATAAAATCCTTTAGTAGAAAGTTAATCAAATAGCGGCAGATACATGACCAAAAGGATTTTATAAATTTATTAGGTATTTAAAAACGGAACCATTAAAAAAATTCTGTCAATAGGTGCGCAGTATGACCAAACCAATGCACCGATCTCTTAACACCAGTATACGACAGTATAACCGGATTATTCCACTGACTCTAAGAGAGTTTAACCCAACCTGTAACTACGTTACCACATATTAAAAATATTTATTGATTTTTATCCAGACTTTGTTAATATATATTTTTACGTTTCTTGTTTCAGTGCATTTCGGCTTGATTTACTCTACAAAGAGCTTCGTGAATCTGTGTCTTCTGATAACTTTCAGTTTGGGAATATTTTAAATACGACTACTTAAATACTTTTCGTTTTATTACAAAGCGGGAATGACGATTTGTCTCGAAATTTGTTCCAGTCGAAAGAATTGCAAAGATGAAAACAGTTGTATTAACGCGAATTGGCCTGTCAATTTCTAAGCTCCAAGGCAAATGAAAAGCTTAGAAAACCGCGTTATTCCCACATATTGTGATAAGTGCTTGCTTTTGTATATAAATTACATCAATTAGAATGTACTAGYTCATCAGTGGGATCCTAATGATTTTTTCGGTTTAAAACGTACAAATATCTCAAACTTTTGAAGCATTATTATTATGCACATCTGTGTAGACACCTGACCTAACAATTTGCTTATCCCTACCCTACTTTATTTTAATTCAGTTTAGTTTTTCAGTCTCGTTTGGACTGGAAGAAGTCAACAGGGTAGTACTACCTCATTCGTAATAATTTTCGCGAGGACTTAAAAGCCCAGTGTGCACCATTATGCTTTGCGAGCATCTGTTATTGTTATGCTTTACACCAAAGTACTTCTAGTATTTAAATATCACCATAAAACGAAGTAAGATGGCTGCAAACTCCAATATTATCGTTTAAAGTGCTTAAAGTGAGATGGTCAAAGATTCGAAACGCACAGTACAATAAATAGACTTTCGGTCAACTGGAAATGYCCGCCCGAGGGCCCCAAAGCATAATGGGGCACAYTAGGCCTTTAATTTCGCGATTTTCGCAATTTAAAAGAAACCGCGAAATTGAAACCTCGCGAAAAAAGGATCCGCGAAAATTAAACGCGCGAAATTTAAACACTTCTATAACAGTCTTTATATGAAATTTTGGTTGAAAATCYATTACTGTTTGAATAATCATTCAATAAAAAAGGATTYTCTGTCCTCTTGTTTTTCAATTTTCGCGAAATTAAATGCACTAAATTTATCCTTTTTTTCAAAATCGCGAAAATTAATGCTTCCGAAAATTTGGGTTCCAAATTCTCGAAATTACTAGTAAGTTCTCGCGAAAATTAGTACGAATAAYGTAGAAAAGAATTGTAAAATGCTTTAACTAAATCTATACTTTTTGGCAGTTCTAACTAGCAGGGATTTGATCCTACTGAACAGCTTGAAGTCGTTTCACTTGTAAAGAGCAGCCCCGAATGACGACATATACACAACCTCATCGTTGCTTGTTTACTGGACTTCAAAGTGAATGCCTTGGCGTCCATCTTGATTGCCTTTGATTAAAGGATAATAAAATTGTTACTTTAACTTWATTGTTATATTTCTTGTCATACTTTTGAAATATTGCCCACGCCCTCATTTTAAAATCCTAGATGAAGGGTTGTGGTATTTTATTTATTTTTTTGTTTGTTTTTTGTTTTAGTAATTTCCTGTTGACACTTTAAAACTCTAACTAGCAGTTTTTGTGCTCATTTTGATCCTAGAGAATAATGCCAAAGAATTAWCTTGTAAAATGTTATTCAATACACTGAGATGAGATAACTAAACGTTTTCTCAATAGGATAAGTCTAAATCTATTATTTTTGAAAATCACCCGAAAAATTGGAGCAAAAATCGGATCTTTACAGCTGTACGTATTTGATAATCATTGACAGACCTTGATAAGGCCAAAGAATGTTTGAAATAACGCAGGATGGTCTTCAATTAGACTATCACATGTAATATTTTTACCAATAAAAATCCTTTAATATTATAAATTTATACGMCTCTTTCATGTATAAAAGTGCGCAGCTCTTAAAACCAAAAGGCCCCCCCAAAAGCTGAGAGAATCTACGTATTATCAAAACCGAACTCACAGCCTTTTWATACCTGACTTGAAGTAACGTTGATATCCAACGCTGAGTCAAAAAGTATTGTCTTCCCGTCCATGTGAATCCCTTCACTACCCTGAACAATGATTGACTTGTCGGAGTTTAGAGTCAGGTTTTGAAATTCATTGCTCACGATCTAAAAAAAAATGAGAGTTTCAATTAATCAGGAATTTTGAGCAAACACAATAAAAAGCAAATTATAAGGAACGAAAAAATATTAACTATAAAATCCTCTTCAAATACAAGGAGTATTTTATTTATAATTTATTCATTTGTGGCTGTCTTTTCGCTAAAATGATGGACAGCGCGGGTACATCGTGCCCGTTTACGGCTTGCGATTTTTGCAGAGCGATTCATCGCCTGAGTTTCGAATATACTTGAAAATTGGCTGCAACTTCGCGGCGCCCCGGATTTTCCATCGCAGGAACAATCGCAGGGCTCTTCACACATACAATTTTAGTTGCGATAGCAAAGTGGCGCTTTTATATCGCGCGACGATTTTGCAGCAAAAATAGCAAGTGTAAACAGGCCTTGAAAAACCGGTTCACGCCCAGCCAATCAGCTAGAGAGCGCGCATTCCTGGTATAGGTCTGAAAAACAGAGTATTTCCTGACAATTTCTAACTYCAATACCAACCCTGTGCGATCGAATAGTGTCAATATGCACATCCTGACCAGTGACTGATTCTTGTAAGAACTGGATATTGCTACCATCAAACGACACGATTTCTTTTTTGGCAAATGGGTCAACAAACTTGAAYCCATTCTTGGCGATTATTGACGTATTTCCATTGGAAACTTCAACTGATCAAGAATACAACACAAGGCGCCGTTAGAGGGAGGTCATAATTTGCCAATTTACCAAATTGTTAGTCTTAATCAGGTGATGGCAAAACTTGACAATAATTTTGTCAAATCGTTACTCTAATTGACCTAATCTAAGGGCCATGGTTCCAAAGGTTCTGGAAACTCCCTTCCTTGGCAAAGAAAGTCTTGATTTGCCAAATCAATAGGGTAAAACTMACATTTCTGCATAGTCCAACAGTTTGAGCTGTGTGAATCCAAAATTCACAATTAATGAATGTTTCAAAAATTGATTTTAATTGAGTACCTTGTGAGCTACGAATAGTATGACCACCATGTAAAGTTATCTGTGAAGGAGAAAAATGGAAATTTGCTCCAAAATTCATGTTTTGTAAATACAATAGCCCTCCTCTATCCTGACCACTAACTTTCCTACACACTTACTAAACCTTCTAAGCTCARTTACTCTCTATTCATACCTTGTTTTGAGTGGTTTCAATGGCAAGGTCTCTGTTATTAAATCCCCCAATAGAYTTGCGATAAACTGTTACTGTTTCAAGGTCACTTGGCTTGGTAAACCTTATCATACCATTATCAAAGAATGAAATTGATTCCACACCATCTTTGTCAATTCTGATAACACCATATATTACAGCCAGTATCTGAGTGCAAAATGTAGAAGTTTAATTTCAATGCATGTAAAAATT